CAATTAAGCAAGTGAAAATCAGACGTAATTAATGGACATCTCCATCTATTATCTTACAGTTTGTGCGATTATCACATTAATTTCTTCCAAAATCCTATGACTTACACACAATTGAAACGATCTGATTCACCTGTGCAACAAAAACACTAATTTTGAGCGTTGATATATTCAATCAAACCAAAAACACACCAGAGCATCTCTTTCGACCACATGTCAAACAAGTGTTTGGAAAAAAATGCGACCATTTTCAATATCGAAAATTTATGCGTTCTACGCATACAAATGAGCGAACTGTTACACATTGTATTCCTCCTATTTATCCCATATCCAACCAATCTTCTCAACAATCAACTGTCAAATACATTCAACACACAATTACAAAATATAACTTCTAATCTATATGTCATTATACCACAGTCTATCAGTTTCCCATATATTCCTCTCTTGCACGAAATCATCTACTCCCGTCTCCTATTTCTCCTGCAATGCTCCAATTACTTCCGCTGTAGTCACTTCGACCATCTATCCAATACACACCGTTTCATCGTATTCAATTTCCATTATTTTTAACCATAACATAAGTCTTTACAAAATTCTTGCTATCGATTTCCCTTAATTTCCCTCATATTGTTTGCCGCATCCTTTCTCCCATCGAAGCAATTTTCATCACCAGCTCAACTCCGAAACAAAGCACATAGCAACACAACCAAAGAAGAGACCTTCCAAACTCACGAATATACACTATTCCATACAACCCCTAGACACATAACAACCCACACAGATTTTCCATACTCAAAGAGTCTCACACCAGAATATTCCCCGGGACCACTCTCTCGGATAAACCATTAGAGTCGTACATTCGCTTCTTCCCATTCTGAACTAAGTGAAAATATATTGAATCGTGCACAACCAGATAGAGCTCGTCAACACGCACCAGACACACTGAGTTTTCCAATTGACATAGTCTCTCAGATGACTATCCCTAGAAATTACTCTCGGCCATATACCATTGCAGCGATAAATTCCATTTTCAGTACTAATAAACAACTCAAAATGTATCCAATCATGCATCATTGGATAGAGATCAGAAAAATGCATCCGACACACTTACTTTTTCACCTGACACACTCTCTCAGATGAGTATCCCACCGGATTACACTAGGCTACAAAGCATCCGAAGAGTAGATTGCATTCAGACTACTCTTAACGCACTCAAAATGTATTGAATCATGCACCGCTGAATAGAGCTCCTCAACATGCATTAGATACACTGATTTTCCCAATTGACACAATCTCCTAAACGGATATCCTTACCGATTCTCATCCGATATATAGTATTCGAGCAGTATATTCGCTTTTAAGCATCATTACCCTAACGAGAATATAATGAGTCATACAACATCATATAGAGCTCGTCAAGATGCATCAGACATACTCACTTTCCCAATTGACACAGCGTCTGACATGAATATCCTTAGGAATTACTCTAGGAGTTATAGCATTTCAGCGTTAAAATGCGTTTTGAGTACTTTTAAACAACTCAAAATGCATTCAATCATGCAGCATTGGATAGGGCTTGTCAAGATGCATCACACGCACCGACATTCCCAATTCATACAGTCTCTTACATAAATATCCCTAGGGATTACTCTCGATGTTATACCATTCGAGAGGTATACTGCCCCGTGAGTACTCTTAACCAACCCGAAATGTATTGAATCATGCAGCACTGGATAGAGATTGTCAACAGGCATCCAATGCAACGTCTTTCCATATTTGACACATTGCTTGACATGAATATCCCTCGGGATTACTTTGGCGGTTATAGCATTCGAGCGGTATATTGCCTGTTGAGTACTCTTAATCTAGTCGAAATGTATTCAATCATGCACCATTCGATATAGCTTGTCAAGATGCATCAGACACACTCTAAGTTAAAATGTGTCGACTTTTTCCGTCGTAAATTATAGTGTCGTGAGTTCCAGCAAGAAAATGTGTCGCACTTTAATGTGTCGTATTTTTAACCGTTCTGTACATATATAACGACTGTTCATTCACCATTTTGTTCCGCGTGTATATCTATATATAATCGATCTGGACCATCACATGAGAATCATAAGCTTTCGTACATCATTCTATATAAGACATTTCTCGATTGTATATTTCTTGTAAATATTTCGAGAAATAATGACCTCATTTTAAGAGAGGTCTACCTGGCAGTAGTCTGACCAAGATCTGGCTAGTCTTACACGGCTGGATCTCAGGATCAGACTATTTTACAGTGTTGCATCAAACACTGATGTTAATTGTACTAATTAAATATTGATGGATATAATGCATCAAAGAAAAGAAATTATGGATACGGTGAAACCTAGACTCGAACCGCGGTTTCAGAATGTGTCGGATGTGCCGTGGGATAATGTGTCGTACGCTTGCTGGAGAAAATGTGTCGTAACGAGCACCTCTTGTCGTGCTTGAATGTGTCGTGGAATGTGTTGCGAATCACGACACATGCGACACATTTTAACTTAGAGTGCACACCGACTTTCCCAATTGACACAGCGTCTGAGATGAATACCCCTAGGGATTACTCTCCGGCTTATAGCATTGGAGCGGGATATTGCCTGTTGAGTACACTTAACAAAATCAAAATTTTTTGAATCTTACACCATTGGATAGAGCTTGTCAAGATGCATAAGACACACTGAGTTTCCCACTTGACACAGTGTCACAGATGAACATGCCTAGGGATTACTCTCGGGGATACAGCATTGGCGCGGTATACTGCCTGTTGAGTACACTTCACCAACTTAAAATGTTTTCCATCTTGCACCATTGGATAGAGCTTGTCACGATGCATCGGATATACTGACTTTTCCCAATTGACATAGTGTCTGAGATGAATATCCATAGGGATTACGTTCGGTGTTATAGCATTCCAGCGGTATATTGCCTGTTGAGTACTCTTAACCTACTCGAAACGTATTGAATCATGCACCATTCGATACAGCTTCTCAAGATGCATCAGACACATTGACTTTCCCAATTGACACAGTGTCTGAGATGAATATCCCTTGGGATTACTCGCCAGCTTTTAGGTTTATAGCGGTGAATTGCATGTTCAGTACACTTAACGTACTCAAACTGTTTTGAATCATACACCATTGGATAGAGCTTGTCAAGATGTATCAGACATAATGACTTTCCCAATTGATACAGTGGCTCAGATGAATATCCGTAGGGTTTACTCCCCGGCTTATAGGTTTATAGCGGTCTATTGCTTGTTGAGTACACTTAACGCACTAAAAACGTTTTCAATCATACACCATTGGATAGAGCTTGTCAAGATGCATCAGATACACTGACTTTCCCAATTGACACACTGTCTCAGATGAATATCCCTAGGGAGTACACAGCGGCTTCTAGCTTGCAAGTGGTATATTGCCTGTTGAGTACACTTAACCAACTCAAAATGTTTTCAATCTTACACCATTGGATAGAGCTGGTCAAGATGCATCAGACACATTGACTTTCCCAATTGACACAGTGTCTCAGATGAATATCCATAGAAATTACTCCGCGGCTTATAGGTTTATAGCGGTATATTCCCTGTTGAGTACATTTAACGTACTCAAAATGTTTTGAATCATACACCATTGGATAGAGCTTGTCAAG